GATGTCTCACCTGAATGATAAGAATATCATTCTTAAATATCAGCCCTTAAATATTCCCCCGGCCTCTATGCGGCCCCTCTGGCCCATTCAGCACTACACAACCAGAGAGATGCTCCTAGGATACCATCATCCCTCCTGCATCCACCCCTGCTCAGAGCCTCCATGACTCCCCAGTGCCTTATGGAGGCCTCCCAGGCTCCTCCAGACCTAGCCCCTGCCGACCACTCCAGCTTTTCCCACTGCCCCTCACACTTGGGAAGGCACGAGACTTGGAATCCCTGGCTATATGTGGCTATTTAAAAGTAATTAAATCGGCTGGGCGCGGTGGCTCACGCCTGTAATCCCAGCACTTTGGGAGGCCGAGGCGGGCGGATCACAAGGTCAGGAGATCGAGACCATGGTGAAACCCCGTCTCTACTAAAAATACAAAAAATGAGCCGGGCGCGGTGGCGGGCGCCTGTAGTTCCAGCTACTCGGGAGGCTGAGGCAGGAGAATGGCGTGAACCCAGGAGGCGGAGCTTGCAGTGAGCCAGGATCGCGCCACTGCACTCCAGCTTGGGAGACAGAGCGAGACTCCGTCTCAAAAAAAAAAAAAAAAAAAAAAGTAATTAAATCGTCAATGAACAATTCAGTTCCTCAGTTACACTAGCCACATTCCAAGTGCTCGATGACCCCCAGTGGCTGGTGGCTACTGTACTCCACAATGCAGATACAGAACATTTCTATCGTCACAGAAAGTTCTATTGGACAGCACTGGATTGGACTTTTCTCTTAACAAAGGAGGCCCTGATAAAAGAATGTTATCAGCTTTAGAGGAATCCAGAATAGACTTGACCTATTTGATGACTCTTTCAATAAATATGCGCCACCTACTGTATTCTAGGCCCTGAATACACAGTAGTGGGTAGTAGTAGCCGGTCTGTCCTGGGAGTGAAGAGATGATGGCCTAAGTACTTGGGCCCAGGCTGGGGGAGTGGTGAAGGCTCCCCGGACAAGGGGCCATCTGCTCAGGCCTGCAAGCCTAGGAGGCACTGGGCAGGCAACATGTTCCTTTTTGCCCTCAAGGGCCCCAGTTACACACTGTCCCACTGCCTGGCTGTTCCTCCTCTCTTTCTCCCCAGGGAGGGGAGGAATGGAGGCTAGTTCCTTGAAGTTAGTCCCTAAGCTGGGAAAAATCAGAGTCCCTGTTGGGCCATTAACTTCAGGAGCTCTGGGCTGTAACTTCTACTCCCCTGACTTAAGGCCTCATGGCTGTGGGGCTCAGTAGTAACAGGCCCCTGAGCCCCCAGGCCTTTGTGGCCACAGAGTGGAGAGCTCCCCTAGGAAAGCGGAACCTGTAAAGCTGTTGTGGAGATACTAGGGGGCTGACTGTACTCTGAGTCCCAGCCCAAGGTGCCAAGCTCCCCAGCTTCCACAGCCCCTGCGGGCCTGCGGGATGAGGCTGGGGAAGGTGTGGAGGACGGAGGCCGGGGTCTGGAGAGAGCCAGGGAGGGGCCAGTGAGGCTGAGGGCGTGTCTTGGGGTCTCCTATTCTCCTGTTTCTGCTAGAGGCCCCCGCTGCTGGTCTCTTCCTCACATACACACACCGGTGTCCACCCGCCCCCCGCCTCCCACCCCTATGGCGGCTGCCCCAGCCTGTACCCTTTCCTGGTGCCCTGGCCGATAACTGTGCCTTCCCAGCGATTTTGACAGTGGCAGCTAATTGGCCCGAATTCGGTGAGTGTTTCCTTCCCCGCATCGGGCACCCCTTTACGAAGGCATCCCTTTATGTGGCATGTCTCACTTAAGCTTCCTAACCGGAGGACGATTACGTAGGGACGATTATCTTCCCCTTATTACAAGCAAGAAATGAAGGTTCCAAGGCAGTAATCCGCAGGAGCCGGCAGTGACGGAGACCGTCCACGCCCTGCCGCCCCGCACCCCGCCCCCAGCCTCGCGCTTGCCTCTCAGTGTCCTCAGTGCCCGCCCGCCGGCCCCATCCCCAGCGGGGTTCCCGCGCCTCCCGGCCCTGCCAGAGCCCAGGGTCGCAGGGCAAGCAGGGCCAGCAGGCCCGGGGGTGCGGAGTGGGATGAGGGTCCGGGCCCTCGGTGCCAGCCTGAGCGCGAGGCAGCCGCAGAGCCGCCCTTTGTTTCGCGGCGCTTGCGGCTTCTGCGGAGTCACGGTCACATGGAGCTTCCGGCACGGGGTGTTCCGGGCGCCACGCCAGGGCCCGAGACGCCCCCGCCCCGTGGCCTGCCCTGCGCCGCCCGACGCCCTCGCCCGCCTGCAGGCCGCCGGCCACCCGGAGCTCCCTGGGCCTCGGGGTCCGCGCCCTGTCCCGCGCCCTGTCCCAAGCTCCGCCTGACCGCCTGGGGACCTGGAGCGCCCCTCCACCTCCCACCGTCCCCCAAGCTCTCGCCGTCCCCCAAGCTCTCGCCCGCCGTCCTGTCTTCTCTGAGCGTCACTGTTCAGCTTTCCCTAGCTTTGACCCTAGACTGGAGCATCAGATCGGGGCCCACTGTCTCCCCTCCTCTAGACAATACCAAGCTCCCAAAATCAGGCTCATCACTCCCCTGGGAGCACTGTACCTAAGTAGGTGTTGGAGGAGTAGGTAATGGACTCCATTCTCCTCATTTAATAGGGTGTCAGACAGCACTGAGCCTCCCTCCCTTCCCCACTCCAACTCCCACAAATCAAAACAAAAATCAGCCACTCGGCCTGGCCTCCACCGACACAGAGCATCTGAAAGTAAAAGCCTCAATCTGGGGTAGAAACGACTGGCCTTTTCCGCCCGGTCCTGGCTCCTGCATCTCCCTAACTCCAGGCTAGTCTGCCCTGTGACACTTGAGAACCGTGGGGCCTCCCTCGTGCAGGCCACCTCTGCTTCCTTTAGCAGATTCAATAATTTATTCAACAATTTTTTCTTATTTATTGAAAGCAAACTTGTACAAGGCAGGCCAGTCCCTCTCAGGGTGCCCTAGGCCCCGAAGTAGATGTGAGAGGTCACCACGGTTCCTTCATCCAGGACTTAGTGAACTGGGCAGACACCTGCATTCCTGGAGGCTGGGAAGAGGGTGTCAGTCTTGGAGAGGCAACAGAGAAGGTAGTGTGAGGCTCTAGGTGAGCACGGGGTGGGGACTCCAGGACCCGTCCCTGGGTTTCCAGGCAGCCTTTCCCCATTAAAGCTGCTTGCAGGCACTGGGAAAGGCTAGAGTGAGGAGGGGTGGGAAAGGAGAGAGGAAGATAGCCCAAGATTGGGCGGGGCAAGAAGCAAACTGGGGCCAAAGGCCGTGTGTACCTCACTGTGGCCTCAAGGCTTGGTGGGGAAGAGCAGGCAGGTGAGTTCCCGGCTGCCGCTGTGTCTGTCCACAAGGGGCAGAGGGTGCCACATGAAGTGCTGGACCATGGTGGCCACGGAGGAGAAGAGCTGGCCAGGGAGGCAGAGCATCCGTGAGTCCCATGAGCCTCATGCTGGGAGCAACTTCCTGAGGCAACTATGGGACTCTGGCAAAGGGACTTTTGACATTTTTCTAGATATCTTCCTTCCTGTTTGCCCCATGCCGCTCCACTGCCATTTTGCTGCCCCGTTCCAGGCCTCAGACAACTTTCCTGCTGCTGCACCCATGGGCACGCCGCTGGCCAGACTCCTATGTCCAAGGCTAGATCAAACTGACCCTAGGGCACGCCTCTGCCCTGGTACTCCAGCTTGGGGAGCGGTGTGATGGGTGTCTCTAGTTTGCATCCTGGCAAATGCTGGGTGCAACGTTGAGTCCTCGGGGGAAGTAGACGAGAGTCTGAAGATCCTGGACTCCACCCTCCTCCCAGCTGGGTTCATTAAAGGCACAAAGGCCCCTACCTCGACCCTATGCAGACTGAGTCATGGCAGGAGGGGCACCTCCCCCACCAGAGGGCCAGGCGTCTGGGAAGGAGTTCAGGGCTCTGGGCTCTGTCATTTCTGCCTACCCCAGAAAGATACAAAATGAGGGTTTTTCCCGAGACAAATGCTCTTGGCTGGGCCCGGGATACTGCTCTGCTGTCCCTCCTTAGGCCCCTGCCTCCTCCAGCTCCCACCTCCTCATGGTTCCTGCCCTCCCGGCCCAGGGCATAGTGGCGTCCACCATCCAGCCGCCGGATGGGAATGTTGAAGACCCGGCCTCGGAGCAGTACTGCCAGGGTGAAGGGCTGGGAGCCATGAGGCCCTGAGCTGGGGCGCACGGTGTAGGCCCCATCCTGTGGAGGAGACCCCAGCCATCAACCTCATCTTCCAATGGGCCTCCCACTGCCCTGAGCCATCATGAGGCCAGAACCCTCCGGCTCTCCTGCTCCCCACTGCTCTGCCAGCTACAGCTTGTGAGCGGAAGGAGTTTCGGAGAAGACCCAGGGTCCATGGCTGCCCACCTTTTGTAAGCGAAGCAGGGCACTCTCAACAGCATGGCGGTCACAATTCCCTGAGTACCAAGGCTGAGCCAGCAGGTCACTGTCCTGTGCATACACACAGCCACTCAGAGACATGCCAGGGCACTCGATCTGGCATGGGGAGCCGAGGACGCAGGGTGCAGTTATTTGCATTCCCATCGCCTTTGTTCAACTGAGTCCCCCGCAGGCAGAAAAAAGAGGTGTCCCTGTCTGGGGCACGGCGGGGTGCCGCACACATGTTCAATATGTGTTCTCACGGTGGTGCATCCTTCAGCCCAAGAGGGTTCCTGGGGGAGGACTCTCAGGCTCTGCTCCCGGAACCCCTCCCTACAGCCTGCACCCGCCCCTCCTCACCTCAGCAGTGGAGGCGCTCCCAACTGGGGCTACAGAGGGAAAAGACGATGTCCTTCCTGCTAGAAGAAGGAGATTATTGAGCTGGGGTGGGGTGGGGGTGGGCAAAGGTGGCTTCTAGGGGACAGCTGCGGGGGCAGGGGGTAGAAGGAGGCGTGCATGGGCCTGAGGTGTGCATGGCAAGGGAAGCAGATGGAGCCAGGAGAGAGTGTTGTGCTGTGGGCAGCTGAGGGACTCCGGCAGGAGGGATCTGGAGCTGAGGGAGGGGCTCACCTGCATCGGGCTCACATTCCAAGTAGAGGTCCTCATCAGGTTTCTTTGGAGGGCCTAGCACCTAAGGTAGGGAGGGGTGTGTGGGACCATGGGTTTAACCAGTCCTGGGGTTCCATTAAGGACTAGGGGTTTTGGGGGAGGAGCCATCGATTTGGAGGGGTGGCAGGCACCTCACTCCCTCCTCACATGGTGATCCTTTCTGGGAGCCAGCTTGAATGATTACGATTTCTCCTCTGTCCAAGAGGGGGCATCCCACTAGCACCTTCCCCTTCAGAGGTGCCCATGGGCCCCAGCTCTCTGAGACTGTGAGGAGGAGCCCTGGGCAGCACCCTCAGGACAGCTGGCTCATTGCCTGCCAGGGGCCTGTGGCCGAGGGGCAGGGGCCCTGCTCTGGGCCTTTTCCCTTGGTTTCAGGGATATTTCTCCTCTCTAGCCCCCCACCCCACCCCACCCCTGCGGTTTCCTAACCAGAACCATGGAAAGTGAGGCGGAGATGGAGGGGCTGCTCACCACTCTGGATGATGCACCCTGCTCTGGAAGGAAAAGGAGAGAACCACCTGTCACGCAGGGCGGGGAGCAGAAAGGAATTCAGTGGGGCTGAGGCTGAAAGAACAGAGACTCCTTAGGGCGCCTCTGAGGAGGGCATCTCAGAGCCAGCTTTGAAACCCCATGAGAAAGCTTTTCTCATCCCCTAGTAGTTCTCTGCACAGCCCTATGGTATCGCCTGTCCTGACCTCCCAGCAAACTTGCCAGGCCTGACTCCAAAGACTTTGGACTGTTCAAAAAATCATAGCAGCCGGGCACAGTGGCTCATGCCTGTAATTCCCAGCACTTTGGGAGGCCAAGGCAGGCAGATCACTTGAGGTCAGGAGTTCGACGCCAGCCTGGCCAACATGGTGAAATCCCATCTCTACTAAAAATACAAAAATTAGCCAGAAATCACTTGAACCCGGGAGGCAGAGATTGCAGTGAGCCAAGATCATGCCACTGCACTGCAGTCTGGGTAACAGAGCGAGACTCCAACTCAAAAAAAAAAAAAAAATCAGAGCAGCCGAGCCAAAAAAAAAAGAGCAGACTGCTTCTGTGGGATCTCAGGCACAGCATTTCGTATCTCTGGGCCGCAGTCTCCTCATTCATTTCATTAGAGACACCGCCGCCTGCCTGCCTACGTTAGAGGATTGGTAGGTATAAAGGGGCACAGCCAGGGGAGTGCCATGAAAGGGCAGGGTATGAGACCCATGTCAGGCAAGCACAGCTCTACTCCGTGGTGGGAGGACTCCCTGTCCCTGGGTGGAGCCACAGAAAGAGAGGACATCACCATTACCTCGCCTCCCGAAGACAGGTCTCTGCTTCCTGGCCACCGGCAGGCTCACTGCTCCCGTCAGCTGTGGGCACTGTGGGGCCCGTGAGGGCGGATGAGGGAAGGAAACTGAGGCACCAGTTTCCTTCCAGGAGGGCAAGGATGGGGCAGGATAGGATGGGATGGGACCACTTGTATCTGTGTAGCTTTAAAAAATGTACAAAAGGGATGACTCTTCTCTTTGCTTCTACCCTGTGGCTCTTTCTTTGTTGTAAATCGCTCCCTGCTTTTTACAAAAATTCCAGTGAAATGTATGATAAAGGTGGTAGCTTTCAAAATCCATAAAGTCCCGCTGGGATAAAGGTGAGACTGGGAGCTGGCAGTGACTGGCAGCTGAGGAAGGGATTTCTTCACTCTAGAGATGGGGAGGGGTCCTCAGGTACCAGAATCCAAGGGAAGGGCAGCTGAGCCCCTCCCCTCCCCCTCAGACAGATGAGAAGGGCACTGTGGGGGAAGCTGAAGGGGAGGGTGGAAGGACCAGGTCAGGCCAGCTGGAGGAGTGACTGACAGCGGCAAGGCTCTGGCTTCTCATGCATCTGGCATCTGATTTTTCAGGGGCCTCTTGAATGCAAATGTGGGGGAATCTTGCAAATGAGATGCCGCTAAGATTCACTCACTGGGAAATGGCAGCCTGGGGTGGGGCGAGTGGGGAAGGAGGGACTTCTGGGGAGGCCTCTCACCATGCTGGGCTGAGGCAGGGGTGGCGATGGCTTCGACGGACCCAGGGGGCCAGAGTGATCTGGAAAAGACCGCATGTGTTGTGAGTTGGTGGGTTCCTCCCAGGTAGGTTCCCATTTTCCTCCCGCCCCCCCCCAACACCAGCCTCCATTTCCTCCTCCTTCCCTCACTCCCCTTGTTCATTGGCTTCCTGACAGCCCAGTCTCCATGGCAACTGGAGGCGGGCAATTTCCCTGCCCCCACCTGGCCGAGGAGCTGAGCAGTGGGAGTGGGATGCCAGCGGCAGCCGGGGCTCTCCCAGCACCCCCGCCCTTGGCCTGAAGAAGTGTTGGGATCTCAGAAGGGGAATGCCAGGCCCCCGCTGTTGCCCTGGTTACACCACTCCTCCTCTTCCCTTCCCACTCTTCTTCCTCCCTCCCCTCCTCCCTCCCTCAGTTCCTTCATCTCTCTCTCTCCCTGCCTAACCAAGAGGCCCTGGTGACTGCCAGCTGAGGCCTCCCTTGCTGCCTCAGTGCGGGGAGGGGAGGAGAGGCAAGGCTTATGCCCTCTTGTCTTGTGGGGACCCTCCTGCCCTGCCCAAGCACCTGGTCTCCCTGCCTCCCACCTCCCAGCCCTCACCCAGGTACAAGGAGTCCTCCTCAGTGCCAGGAAGGTGGGCAGGGGCTAGACTGAGGGGCAGAGCCTCACAGGGCGGCAGCTCGTACTTATTCTCCTCCTCGTCCTCCTCCTGGGCCTGGAGGAAGGGATGCTCAGCACAGCAGGAATGGAGGGGAGAGGGTGTTCAGGGCAGGCTCTAGCAGCTGCCTCCCCCACCCCAACCTCAGTAGCCAGACTCACCTTGTGTCTCCAAGTCCCTGGGGCAGGCAGAAAGGAAGGGCTGGGAGCATCTTCTCTCCAACCTGGGGAGTCTGGACAGACAGGCTGGCCTCACCTCCTCCCTGCCCACCTTTCCCCAGTATAGTAAACCACCCACCCTTGACAGCTTCAGTGCTTCAACTCAAAGAAACCACTCATCACAGGTATTTCCAATGCTGTCGCAGGGCCACTGAGGTAGGCAGTTTGGAAACAAGGGGCCCTTCCACCAATGCCCATTCCCTGTCCCCCGCACCCTTGATTCTGGCCAAGACAGATGGGAGAGCTAGGCCCCTGTGACTCAGCAGTGCTGGGCTCTGGGAGGCTGGAGGTGTGCAGAGTCACTCTGGGGGGACCTGACTTGCAAGGGATCCCAGTCTGTTGGGTCCCCCTGACCCATTGTGTCACTTACCTACACATCTGGGGGGTGGGAGCGGTGGCCACAGCCTGCAAGCACATTCTAGTCAACTCTGCCCAAGGGGCCCTTGAGTTTGTATGAGACAGACGCTGTGTTGTGGAACATTCACATCCATGACAATGTGACTAACAGAGGCCCTGGGAGCAGGGCAGCAGAGGAGGAGGCTGGGGGCAGAGTGGTGCCAGTGGGCGCATAACTGCATGAGTTGGTGCCCTGGGAAAGCCAGGAGTCAGGGAGCCCTAGTGCTGACAGGAAGTGGAGGCGTGTGAATGGTCTCCCTGGGCAGAGAGGAGCCAGGCAGAGTCAGCACAGCTCCTGGGATGGCTGTGCCCAGGAGAGGAGGGGTAGAGAGAGACAAGACGGGAAGGCAGGGGAGAGAGGAGCCCCAGTACTCACCGGGGCCTGCTCCCACTGCGCTTGTCCTGGAAAGAGCCAGGGTGGAGAGTAAAGGGGTCAGTGCAGCCGGGATGCCTCTCCGTGGCGGAGTCCTGGGCCTCCCGGGTGGGCAGGTTTGTGTACCTGGGGCTGTCCCGTCCTGGGACCACATCTTACCATGGCAGAGGCAGAGAAGCTTTGCCTCCCTGGAGCCCAGGATCTGCCACAAATGGCCTGGGGACAAGGGCTCCATTGTTCCCATCATTTGCATCTCCTAAACACCAGGAAGGTAGATCTGCTGTGGCCTCCAACCCCAGACCAACTTCATCCAGGACACTCCCAAAGCCCAACCCCAGGTCTCTGAGCCTCCCCAAGGCGGGCCTCCCCCGTCTGTGGTCTCCAGCCCCTCTGCCCAACAAGAGGAAGAGTTAAGCTGGACCAGGGTTCTCAGGCTTCCTTCAGCTTTCTGACCAGTGTCACCTTTCTCAACTCATAGACAACATTACGTTATTTGGCAGATCCAATTAAAAACAGCAGGCTGGCCTTGCAGACACTTTTCTTAAACGCTTTACTGCTGTTGTCGTTTGCTGGTAAGTGGTAACCAATGATTAAGGAAATGAAGGTGAGGGAGGCGCTTAGAAAGAGGCTCTCATATTTAGTGTGGCAGCTTCATTTTTTGATGGATGTATTTATCCATTCAGTGGGTATTTATTGAACATCCACTGTCTGCCAGAGACTGTTCCAGGCATTGAAGATGCCATAGGAAAACGAAGCAGGCAGGCATTACGTGTGTTTCCTCATTGGATTCTCACAGTAACGTCATGCTGCAAGTACTGGTTTTATCCCTGCTTTTCAAATGAGGAAACTGAGTGTATTAGTCAGCTCGGGCTGCCATAACCAAAACCCACAAACTATGTGGCTTAAGCAACAGAAATATCATTTTCTCACTGTTCTGGAGCTAGAAGTCCAAGATCAAGGTGCCATAAGGGTTGGTTTGTGATGCAGCCTCTCTTCTTGGCTTGTAAACAGCTGCTTTCTCTCTGTCCTCACATGACCTCTTGTCTGTGCACGCGCAGAGAGAGGCGGTTCTGGTAACTCTTCTTCTTATGAAGACACCCACTCTCTCAGATTAGGGCCCCACCCCCATGACCTTATTTATTTTTAATGACCTCCCTAAAGACCCTATCTCTAAATAGTCACATGGGGGGTTAGGATTTTAGCATATGAATTTTAAGGGAACACAATTCAGTCATAACACTGAGGCTCTGAGAAGTTGAATAGCTTTCCTGAGGTCATGCAATTAGCAAGTGTTGGAAATGGGATTCAACCTGAGCTCTGCCTGCCTCAGAGCCTGTGCCCTAAAAGCTAAGCATCCTGTACCTCACCAGGATTGGGTCTGGACGCTTCTTTCCTACGATGGAATTAGCAGTGCTAATTGTGACCTTCCTTAAGGAGCTTATGACTTCCAGGGGCTCTGTTACCTGAGTGAACTTTGGAACTCTGACTTTCCGAGAAGGGTCGCGATAAAAATGAGGGCTGGGGCCTGGTGTCTGACTGTTTAAGTCAGGGAATGAGGAAACACAGACCTCGATCATGAATGATGACACGAGGACTTCTAAGGCCCTGGAGCTTTCTGGTGCTTATTATTTCGGTGGCATCCTGGTTGTTGGTGCAAAGGAGAAATAAGCCCATGTACTTGCATCTTTGGAGGCCGCCAGGCTGGGGGCACTGGAGAGACACCCAGGGATGGAGGGGAAGACCAGACAATTCCTGGGACCTGCAGGCAAAAGGGCATCCAAGAAACCAAGAAGAGTCATTGGGGTGGCTTCACGGGGGGCCCATTTGGTACAAAGGGAAAAACGGAAAAAACAAGAAGAACAAATCCTCACCCAGAATTGGTTCTACTGGGTCTCTTCTTTGTCCTCCACTCCCAGCTGACCTTTCTTCCACATTTAAACCATAAGGCAGGGGGCAATTTCCCTCACCCAAGGGGGCCTCATTTGGAATCAGGGTCAGTAGGAGGTTCTGGACACCACCCCACTGTAAACCTCAGCCTGAGCGAGTTTCCCAGTGCATGCTGCCCTCCCTCTAGCCACCTCCCTTCTCTGCTCAGGGCTTTGCATAGGCAAATGCCAGGGCTTGGGTGAGAGAAAGCGCCCCAGGCAGAGGGCAGAGTCCATGCCATCAGGGTGGGGCACTGGCCTGGGCAGATCTGGGAGAAGGGAAAGGAAAGAGGCCTGCCTCTGTGGCCTCATGTCGTCACACAGGCAGATTGGGATATCCTCTTTATCCATCTTTGGCACGGAATTGCTCTGTACACACCATAGATATTCCCTGGGATGAATTCCTGGAAGCACACTTGCTAGAAATTCACATTTTGAAGGTATAATGCCCCATTGTCCGGCAGCACCTGAATGCCTGTTTTATGGTCCTTCCACAGCACAAAGTGATTCTCCAAATTTTTCAGGTCTCAGCTACTGAGAACAGGCCATGGGCCCAAGGCAGTCTAAATCCACCCTCAGAAAATACACAGCCTAGTTTAGAAAAAACTCAAATGGATTTCTCCCCTGCTCTCACACAACAGCAATCAACACAGAGCAGACTTCTGTGACCAAACGTGGTGGCAGGGTGGGCAGTTCTCCCCACCACCCAGTGAGCAATCAGCTCTGCAGCAGACACAGCGGGGTGTCCTCCAATCCACTTCCAATACTACCTACCTGGAGACAGAGTCAGAGCCCACAGGTTGAGGGCTCAGTCCCCAACAGGTCCATCCTGCCACCTCAGACACCAGGCACAAGTCTGGGCCTCCAGAACTTCTGACCAACTGGCTTCAAGCTGGGGTTCCCACAGCCTCTTCTTTGGGTTTGATTAATTTGCTGGAGCAGCAGCTCACAGAATTCAGAGAAACACTTACTTATGTTTACTGGTTTATTACGAAGGATATTGCAGAGGATGCAGATGAAGAGATGCGTAGGGCAGAAATAGTGGGAACGGGTGTGGAGGCTCCGTGCCCTCTCTGGGCACACCACACTCCAGGAGCCTCCACATGGTCAGCTATGCAGAAGCTCTCTGAACCAGGCCTCTTGGGTTTTTATGGAAGATTCATGCCTACAGCATTCCTTCCCCCAGCGTATGAGGCAGGACCCTCTCTGGAATTCGGGTCACACAATCACAAAGGTGGAGGAAGATTAGAGCCCAGCCTTGGGCAGGTGAAAGGAGGACAGGACAAGGCCAGAGAGATTCTGTTTCCTGAGGCCTGCTCCTGAAGCCTAACACAGCCAACATCATAACCAAAGGCTCTAAACAGAGCTGTGGGAGTTATGAGCCTGGAACCGTGGACAAAAACCTACATATGGAAGAAATACTCGAGGTCATTTTTGCCAGCAGACAGAGCAGATGGCGAAGTGTAGCCGGGACCCCTGGTGTGAGTGGAGTGGGATCCATTGCAAGGAGGAGGATGGAGGTGGCTCTGAGGACCTGCAGGGGGACAGGTAAGCAGGCTGTGGTCAGAGGTCTCAGAGGTGGGAGAACACAGCATGTGGAGGAAGAGCCGCGGAGATGTGGGTGGCTGGGCTCACCAAGAACAGAAGGGGACATCTGCCATCCTTTTTGGCTGCTAAACATACCCTACATTTGGGGAGTTCTCCACCTCATGAATCTTCGTTTCCAATTGCAGAAGCCAGGTGAGGCCTTCCCAACCTCCCCTTGCCACTGAGGTGCAGGCTGTGCCAGCCAGAGGCCCCATGCCAGACTCTGAATCTGTAGCAGGCACCAAGACGAAGGCACCCTGGGAGGGTGGTGACAGCCAAATCCTGTTTCCAGAGGCTTAGGGGGGTGAGCCCTTAGCGCCACCACCCAGGGCCCAAATCAGTGGCATTGGCAAACAGTGGTGTCAGTGCCCAGGATGGCTCTGTCAGGCTGGCTTGGCTGTGACCTTTGGGACATTATTCCTGGCTAACTCTCTGGCCCTGCTGGAGATACTATGAGCTACAGAATAGTTTTAATAAATTATTTTCCAGCCTAAACTAGCTAGAGTCTGTTTCTCTTACTTTCAGTTAAGAACTTTAATCCAGCCAGGCGTGGTGGCTCATGCTTGTAATCCCAACACTTTGGGAGGCTGAAGCGGGTGGATCACCTGAGGTCAGGAGTTTGAAACCAGTCTGGCCAACATGGTGAAACCCTGTCTCTACTAAAGAAATACAAAAAAATTAGCCAGGCATTGTGGCGGACACATGTAATCCCAGCTCTCAGGAGGTTGAGGCAGGAGAATAGCTTGAACCTGGGAGGCAGAGGTTGCAGTAAGCCGAGATTGTGCCACTGCACTCAAGCCTGGGCAGTAAGAGTGAAACTCCATCTCAAAAAAAAAAAAAAAAGAACTTTAATCTGGGGATGAAACCTCAGAGTCAGTGGGACCACCAAATGGATGCCAAGAAACCCAAACAGTGAACCCAGGTATGGGTGTCTCCTGGGAAGGTGGAACCAGAAAAAACTAAGTGTGATAGCGTTATACCTGTATAGTCTTGGGACTATTTATTTATTTATTTTGAGATGGAGTCTCGCTCTGTTGCCCAGGCTGGAGTGCAGTGGCATGATCTCGGCTCACTGCAACCTCTGCCTCCCAGGTTCAAGCGATTCTCCTTTTTCAGCCTCCCAAGTAGCTGGGACTACAGGCATGCGTCACCATGCCCGGCTAATTTTTGTATGTTTAGTAGAGACGGGGTTTCACTATGTTGGCCAGGCTGGTCTCAAACTTCTGACCTTGTGATCCACCTGCCTCGGCCTCCCAAAGTGCTGGGATTACAGGTGTAAGCCACCGTGCCCAGACAGGACTATTTATTTTTAGAGATAGGGTCTCACCCTGTCACCCAGGCTGGAGTGCAGTGGCACCACCATAGACCACTGCAGCCTCAAACTCATGCCTCAAGTTTAGGTTAGGACTCAAGTGATCCTCCAGCCTCAGCCTCCCAAGCAGCTAGGACTACATGCTCACACCACCAGGCCCAGCTAAGTTTTAAACATTTTTTGTAGACATGAAGTCTTGCTATGTGGCCCAGGATGGTCTCAAACTCCTAGCCTCAAGTGATCCTCCTGCCTCAGCCTCCCAAAGTGTTGGGATTATAGGTGTGACCTACTGTGCCACACCATTAATTATTTTTATAATTAAAAAAAATCAATATAGAGAGAAAGAAAAAGAAGGGAGGAAGGGAAAGACGGAGGGAGATGTGATCTGGACTTCAAATATGAGGAAGCACAGGAAGACAGAGACACCAGGGGAAGGTAGGGCCAGGGAGCAGGAGGCCAGGCCAATGGGAGGTTATGTGGGGGCCAGTACGGGAAAGCCAGGTTTCCATTCTTGAGGGGAGTGGAAGAGAGGTACTGATGACACAAGAATTCCTCTCCAAGCAGAGTGGGAACCCACAAAGGCAAGTGAAGTTTAGGTGGGGTAGAAAGGAAAGAACTTTCTGAACATGAGGTTAGGGCCAAGTGTGTGGGGAGAGGTCTGTCCCTGAGGAAATAGGGGGACGTAGTGGGGCAGGGAGCTGCATGTGGAGGAGCCCCCATGAGGGCAAGGGGCCTTGAGTCCTCAGGACACTTTTGCCAGAGCAGGTGCTCAGGTTAGAGGCCCAAGACATTCCTGGTGGAAGGGCCTACAGCCAACTGAACTCTGTGGTTGGATTCACATTAAAGCCAGGGGCAATCCTGGTGGACAGCAGTTTGCAGTATGGAGGGAAGGGGCTGTCCTGGGCCAATGGATGATGGGGCTGGCTTCGCACAAGCTGGCAGAGGCCCCTCTTCCGCCCTCGCCTGCTGCTGTCACAGGCCTGCTGACTCAGCTGACTCTGGGGACAGCTGTGATAGGCAATGAAGGGCTGACACAGCGAGGGACAGATGGCTCCCTAGAAGAGGCCTCTGCCCCATCCCTCCCTGGTGCACAATCATTTCTTGCCGCAGTTTCAGAGCTTTGTGAGAGACTATCCCTCTGTCTCCCCTGGCAGTGGGTAGAAAGTCTGGTGTGTAGTTTGTTGGCCAGGCACAGTGGCTCACGCCTGTAACCCCAGCACTTTGGGAGGTCAAGGCAGGTGGATCCATTGAGGTCAAGAGTTCGAGACCAGCCCGGCCAATGTGGTAAAACCCCGTCTCTACTAAAAATATAAAAAATTAACCGGGCGTGGTAGCACACACCTATAATCCCAGTTACACAGGAGGCTTAGACAGGAGAATCGCTTGAACCTGGGAGGTGGGGGTTGCAGTGAACCAACATTGTGCCATTGCACTCCAGCCTGGGCAACAGAGTGAGACTCGTCTCAAAAAAAAAAAAAAAACCAGCCGGGTGCAGTGGCTCATGCCTGTAATCCCAGCACTTTGAGAGGCTAAGGCCAGCGGATCATCTGAGGTCAGGAGTTCGAGACCCGCCTGGCCAACATGGTGAAACCCTGTCTCTACTAAAAATACAAAAATTAGCCAGTTGTGGTGGCACGTGCCTGTAATCTTAGCTACTAGGGAGGCTAAGGCAGGAGAACTGCTTGAACCTGGGAGGCAGAGGTTGCAGTGAGCTGAGATCGCACTATTGCACTCCAGCCTGGGTGACAAGAGCGAAACACCGTCTCAAAACAAAACAAACAAGCAAGCAAACAAACAAACAAAAGTCTGTTGTGTAGTTTGTCTGTTTTTCCGGAGGGCATTCCACTAGTTCTGCTCAGGTTTTCCAAGGGTTAGGCTCAGGGCTGAAAGTTGAGGTTGGCTTTCCCCAGCCTCTAGGGTACAGCGTCTGAGCCAGAAGCACCCTTTTCCCTCTGTCCCACTCACCTGTCCTGCCCTGCCCTGTTCCGGAACCTTTGCTCATAGTAGCTCTGGTCGTGTCACAGCTCTGCCTAAAACCCTTGAGTGACTCCTCATGGCTCCTTGAACAGAGACCAAATGCTTCTTGATGCCTGGAAAGATCAGGCCCCTCATACCTCCCCAGTCCCAGTCCCTCCATTGTTTCCCAGGGACTTCCTCACATTCACCTTCTCTCTCTGCTCTTCCAACATGACTGAGGCCCAGGCAGACCATTCTGCTTCCTGTTGACTTAAGGAACTTTTAGTTAAATTTCTAGATATTTATTCAATTTTTACGGAATATGACAAAGAGAGAGAGCATTCTTTTTTATTTTTTAAATTTAAAAACAGATATGGGGTCTCACTATGTTTTTCAGGCTCGTCTTGAACTTTTGGGCTCAAGCAATCCACCCGCCTCAGCCTCCCAAAGTCTTGGAATCACAGGCGTAAACCACTGCATTCGGCCAAGAGGGCATTCTTAATATGCAGCAAAACAAGAAAAGAAGAAAAGAAAAGAAAAGAAAAGAAAAGAAAAGAGAAGAAAGAACTCTTCTATACGTATATCATACTTCAAAAACTGTTGCCCGCAAAATGGCAATATCTTCTTCACAGATGTCCCCGTCTCCCAGAGCCCAGCCCTCTCCCCTCCACCTCGACTCTTTATCCTGCACTCAGTCACAGTCTCTTTAGCTGTCCAGTTTCTGCCCCCAAGAGAGCCCAGGAGGTGACCAAGTGCACAGGAAACCCGGGTGAGGCTGGCTGTGGGGGAGAGTGGTTGCAAACACAGTGTGACATGGTTTCTTTCCACCCTTTCTAATCTCCACCAGGCCCTTCTTATCTGGTGTGTACACTTGCTATTCCTCCTCTGAAACATCCTGGCCCCTTTCCTCCCTCCTCCTGCAGGCCCTAGCTCAGGTGACCCTTCCTCAGCAGCAGGGGTCCCAGACCAGGGCAGTCCCCTACCCCACTCTCTGAGCTCCCACCATAATTAAACCTACAGGTTTATTTCGCAGCTAGACTATAAACTCCCACACTTGACTACGCGCTATGTAAATGGGCAGCCACTGTGTCTGCCAAGTTCACGGCCAAATTCCAAGTGCCGGGCCCACAGCCTGGCACACAGCAGGCTCTCAATCAATATTTGTTGTAGCTGCTATTCAAATCTTACTCATTCTTTACAGGTTGCGCAAAGCCTGCCTCTCTGCAAACATCTTTGGTCTCTCCTCTCTGAAAGGCCTGTGTCTTGCCCATTTCCTGTCCATATGTCATCGACTACCAGGCCTAGGCTGAGGCACAATCCCCCGAGGTCCCGGCTGTGTTTATCTCCTGAAAACCCTTTTCCCCGTGCAGACGGATCACCAAGGACTCCCTCACACTCACCTTCTCTGGTTCTCTGGATACCTCTGGCTGACCTTCCCCACCCCACTGGGTCCTTTCCTCTATTTGCCTTCCTTAGCGGGAGCAGCCAGCGTCTGTTCCTCCCCTACCCTCTCCCTCCTCCACCAAATGTAACATGGCCCTGCTTAGGCTTCCTTCTTCAGCACAGAGCCCGGGAGCCAAGCTTCTCCTGTTCCCAGCCACTCTTCTACCCTCCCCTTTAGGAGAGACTGGACATGGTGTCTCCCTGACATCTCCAACCCCACCTCCTTCCTTGATGGTCCTGGAGGGTCCTGAGATCACCCCCCCTCCCTTTTACCAACAGAAAAGCCGAGGCCAAAGAAGAATGGATGTTGGCCAAGGCCATACGACGTACACAGAGCCAAAGCCACAGTCCCCTCACCTCCTCCCGGGCCACTGTGGGGACCTGAGCAGTCATTCCAGGGGAGAGGGCGACCCCTGGTGGCGAGGAGGGGCATGGCAGCCTGTCGCTCATTTCCTGGGCCCAGAGGCTGACCGTGGAAGAGGCAAGGCCTGGAGGATCAGGCTTTAGTCATCAGGAAGGTAAATAAAGGCAAGGCCCGTGGAGTGAAAGAACCCAACTTTTGCTGGGCTTTGCCCTTCCTTAGCCACATTCCCTGTAATGACCTAACAATACTGCTCTGTGACTTTAACTGTACCCTGCTGATTTGCTGATTGGATCTTTAGGGGGCAGGAATGGGCATTAAACGGCTTTTGGCACACTGCGTGTCCCAAGGGTCATTACTGACTTGGGGGTCTGGTGCTAAGCCTTGGAATGCAGAAGCTCACATTCTGATAATAAGATTTCTAATAATAAGAGAATGGGCTCAGGCCAGGTGCAGTGGCTCATGCCTGTAATCCCAGCACTTTGGGAGGCTGAAGTGGGCTGGTCACCTAAGGTCAGGAGTTCGAGACCAGCCTGGCCAACATGGTGAAACCCCATCTCTACTAAAAATACAAAATTTAGCCAGGCATGGTGGTGTGCATCTGTAATTCCATAATCTCAGCTATTTGGGAGGCTGAGGCAGGAAAACCGCTTAAGCTAGGCGGCAGAGGTTGCAGTGGACCGAGATTGCACCACTGCACTTCAGCCTGGGCGACAGAGCGAGACTCCGTCTCAAAAAAAAGAGAGAATGCACTCTTATTAAAGAGTCCAGGGGCTTAGTCAATAGCTGTCTCCAAGTTTCTATGGTACCTATCTCTCATCTCTAGGGGCAGAAGGGCTACTCAACAAAAGGCTGATTGTTGTAACAGAAACACTCAGAAAACCGAACCTTTGAGAACTTCCCAAGCAGAAATGGGCATGCTTAGAGACCACTCGACCAGTTAATATGAACCCCACATCTGCTATCAAGAGAGTCTGGGCAATCTACTTTGAATATCCCTTCTGGAGCTGTTTCTAGGTTGTTTAGAAATTAAATGAAGTATTTCTAGGAAGTAGGTCGCCTAGACCTAATCACACAAGAATGACATCTCACCGACACACAAGGTCATGGCTAAACCTTCATTGACTAAGTATTTTCCTCCTTCCTTGATGATCCAGGATGTAGCAGTATATGCCCAGATCAGGAAGTGTAAAAGCTGAAAATGGAGTTGGAGACAGAAAGTCCAATGAGTTGCTGGCCACTGTGGTGTCACTGCTCCCGATACAGGTGTAACCTGAGTCTCCCACTTGGGAGCCAGAAATCAGCTGAGAAGAGGCCTCTGGAAAGAGGCCGCCCTGGCCCAGGAGGGTGGATGAAGTAGGGCCTCAGCACAGCTCATCCCACCGAGCAGGCCGGACCCTGAGTTCCTGGCTTGCACTGAAGGGTCTGGGTAAGTCCCTTCTGTAGCGCCTCAGAAGCTCCTTGGGCAACCTGGGAAGTTAGGACAAGAGTTCTGACTTTTGACCCTGAGGTGTGAGGAGAGTGCTTTGAGAGAGAGCATGGTGAATGCGAGTGACCTGGTTATTACCTCCGGGCAGCCTCCTAACCTCACCTTGACTCTGCCATGCAAAATTGATGCCTGGGCGCAGGGCGCCGACGATGGTCAGATACCGCGGCCTGAACACCCTGGAACCTACATCCCTGACTTGGAGGACCCAGGCCTTCCGGGGGCTTCTCCATGAGTCCTGCAGGTCACACAGGGACCCTAACGGACCTAGTCCAGTCTCAGGGTCTGGGCTGCTCCTCCCTCCAGGAATGGGAGTTTGCTCTAGGCGATGGAGGAAGGGTTCAGGAGGCCACTCTGCGTCCCTACTAGCTTGTGGGCCCAACCCCCTACCCACCATCTTCTTCTCCCACGGCCCCAACCTCGTAGGGAGGACACGGCGGGGCTCAGGTTCGCAGAGAAGGAGGGCTCGGACCAGCGACTCCAGGGCAGAGCGGCGCGTGCAGGGGTGGGGAGCTGGGTTTGTGAGAAGAGAAGGCCATCTCCTCCCCAGCAGGAGCGCCTCCACCCAGCCACCGGAACCCCACCCTGCCTGGTACAATCTTTGCGTCCGGATCAGCACCCAAGGCCCCGCCCCACGTCCCGCTGCCTGCCGGGATTTGTAGTTTGTAGGGGTAGGGCCAGAACGCGCGGGCGCGCGCAAGCGTGTGTGTGTGTGTGTGTGTGTCGCGCGGGCGCGCGCAAGCGTGTGTGTGCGTGTGTGTGTGTGTCGCGCGGGCGCGCGCAAGCGTGTGTGTGTGTGTGTGTGTGTGACTGTGTGTGTCCGGGTGGGGGAGTCTGTTGTGTTCCCGTCGCGCGCGAGCGTGTGTGTGTGTGACTGTGTGTGTCCGGGGGGGTGTCTGTTGTGCTCCCCGTCGCGCGCAAGCGTGTGTGTGTGACTGTGTGTGTGAGAGACCGTGTGTGTGTGTCCGGTCTGTTGTGGTTCTCCCGTCCCCGAAGGCCTTCCGGACCTGGGCTCAGCAAAGGCACCGCAGGCCGCAACTTCCGAGACCCCGCCCCGCGGCCCACTGTCTGCTGGGATTTGTAGTTCGTAGGGTTCTAGGGCCCTGGCCGGGCGTGCAGCTCTCCTGAGTCCTCGTTTTTCTCGTGAGCCCTGGATCTGGACAGTGGGCCCGGCGCAAGGCCCGCGACTCCGGCTGGGCTCCCAGTGGCACTTTCTGCCGATCCTGAGATGTACCCGCCACGCCTGCGGGACTAACCTCTAGGTGGGCAAACTGAGGCACAAAGAGGGGCACGCTCTGGCCTGAGTCGGCCCTCTTGTGAGAATTTGGACTGAGAGACCCAGCCCAGGCCTGGCAGGCAAGGCTGGGCCAGGCGAGGTCCTGGGCCCTTTCGATGTAAGAGTGTGCAATCAGTAGTGTTTCACAATAATGAACAGGCCTGCCCAGGACTGGCTGTGCATATTAGCGCTGGTTACCACAGGCTTGAGGGATCAAATTTTTATTTGGCACCACTACAGAGGGGAGCCCAGGGAGGGAGGAAGTCTCTTGTGACCAAGAAAACCTATGGTCCACCCTGGCCTTCAACTCTGCTTTAATGATAAAAATAAACCGAGTTTGGGAGGAGGTGAGGAGGAGGGGTGTTTTGTGAACTGTAAAGTCCGTAGTATGAGTGAGGTGTTATTATCATCAGGATCAGACCTCAAAGCACTGGAGAAAAGGTCTGGGCCTTCAAGAGCCTCGCCTTAAAAGGTAGGGTATGGCCGGGCGCAGTGGCTCACGCCTGTAATCCTAGCATTTTGGGAGGCCGAGACGGGCAGACCACCTGACATCAGGGGTTCAAGACCAGCCTAGCCAACATGTCGAAACCCCATCTCTACTAAAAATACAAAAACTATCCGGGGGTGGTGGCACATGCCTATAATCCCAGCTACTTGGGAGGCTGAGGCAGGAGAATCGCTTGAACCCAGGAGGCAGAGGTTGCAGTGAGCTGAGATTGTGTGATTTTGTCACTACCCTCCAGCCTGGGTTACACAGTGAGACTCTGTCTCAAAAAAAAAAAAAAAAAAAAAGGAAAAGGGAAGGTACACTTACTATAGTTATGTAAGAAATCCCCTTTGGGAGAAGCTGGGTGATAGGATTTCCCTAGACCTTTTTAATTTTTTTAAGTGGGGTGCAGATGGGTCAGGAAACTCAAAGGTTACAAAGCCCTTTCACTTTTTGTTTGCTTGTTGACAATTTTATTGAGATATAATATACCATATAATTCACCCATTTAAAGTGTACAATTCAGTGTTTTAGTATGTTCAGAGTTGTGTAACCATTATCACAATCTAATTTTGGAACACTTCATCATCCCCAAAATAAACCTGTACCCATTAGCAGTCCCTTCCCCAGCCCCCTCCATCCTCTTCAGCCCTAGGCAACCACTAATCTACTTTCTATAGATTTGGCTTTTGTGAACATTTCATATAAATGGAACCATACGGTATGTGGTCTTTTGTAACTGGCTTCTTTCACTTAGCAACATGTTTTCAAAATTCATCTAGGTTGCAGCATCTATCAGTACTCAGTACTGTTTCTGCAACTTTTTGTGAGTCTATAATTATTTTGAAATATATTTTTTTAAGCAAGGTATCTAGAGCAAGAGCTGAGACCAGACGAGGTGGCTCAGGCCTATAATCGCAGCACTTTGGGAGACTGAGGTCTCCTGAGGTCTCCTGGATCACTTGAGGTCAGGAGTTTAAGACCAGCCTGGCCAACATCGTGAAATCCCGTCTCTACTAAAAATACAAAAAATTACCCAGGCGTGGTGGCACATGCCTGTGATCCCAGCTGCTTGGAAGGCTGAGGCAGGAGAATTACTTGAACTCAGGAGGCTGAATTTGCAGTGAGCCGAGATGGTGCCACTGCACTCCAGCCTGGGCGACAGAGCCAGAGTGTGTCTCAAATAAATAAATAAATAAATAAATAAATAAATAAATAAATAAAGAGCTGAGCTAGCTCTTTGCTCTTTGCATGTGAAAGGACTCGCAGCTGGCGCCAGCATGCAGTGATAGTGGGGAGGGCATGGACTCCCACAACGTGGCTTCCCACCCATCCTCTACCGCTTACTAAGTGGGACCTAGAACAAGTGATTTTGACCTACTTTATCTCTGTTTCCTCGTCTGTCAAAAGAGGATAATAAGAGGATCTATGTTAGAGAGTAAATGCGAGGATTAAATGAGAAAATCATATTGAGGATAGCACCTGGCATATAGTGGCAGCACTCAGTAGTGTTAGCTGTTATGGTGTTGAGTACCCAGTGTGACGCTGGCTGTACGGGGGTAAACCTGTCTTCTGGGGGGACTAGTCCCCCCATCCCAGGCACCTGGTGCCCTCCCCAGATCATTCATGCTGTACTGGACAGTCCCACTTTCCCAAGAAGTCACAAGGAATTCCAGCATGTCACTGTTCTGGTTGCCCCTGAGCACCTACCAGTGATTTAAGAAAAGGCAAAAGCAAAGTTTTGGTTTTGAGCTTTATTCGGAAAATATGGCCACCCAGACCCCTGGCCATTCCCCAGGGCCTGTGAGGTGATCCAGAAAAATTCATTTGCAAATCAAATTTAATGGCTAGAAGCATCCCGAATCAATGTCTTCAAAGGAATATTTGGGGCAGGTGAGGTGCCTCACACCTATAATCCCAACACTTTGGGAGGCCGAGGAAGGAGGATCACCTGAGATCAGGAGTTCAAGACTAGCCTGGCCAAAATGATGAAACCCTGTCTCTACTAAAAATACAAAAAAATTAGCTGGGCATAGTGGCGTGTGCCTGTAGTCCCAGCTAATCAGGAGGCTGAGGCAGGAGAATCACTTGAACTGGGGAGGGGAACATTGCAGTGAGCTGAGATTGTGCCATTGCACTCTAGCTTGGGCGACAAGAGTGAGACTCCATCTCAAAAAAAGAAAAAAAAAACCACGAATATTTGGGGGAATTTTGATGCTGGAATTAAGCATTGCAAAAGATCCCTGTCAGTCCCCCGTGATGAGGAAATGCAACTGCTCAGCCTGAGCTGTGCCTCTGGGTTGGAATTAGAGGAGCCAGAAGGGACCCTTCGAGTCTAGTGCTTTCATTCACAGATGGGAAACTGAGGCCCAGAGAGGGCCACATGGCATGGGAGTTAGAAGACAGGTCAGGAACTTGCTAGGAAGAATCTTGCAATTTCAGAACTTCTCAGCACTGGAAATGAGTCCATACCCCGAGATTACGGACACAGAAGCAGAAAGCTGATTGTCCTGGACATCCCCAGACCTTGGCCAGAGCCCACGCAGCCAAGCCTGGAAGCCAGTGTCCAATGCTTCTCTCTCCTGGTTTTCTTCAGCCAGATGTTCATCCTAGAAGTAGGAGTTTATTAATAATGGTAATGGTACCTTGCATTGTCCAGGCCTTCATTCTTTTTGCAGATCCTCCCGGCTGGGCACAGTGGCTCACTCCTGTAATGCCAGCACTTTGGGAGGCCGAGGCAGAAGGATCACTTGAGCTCAGGAGTTCAAGGCTGCAGTGAGCTGTGATCATGCCACTGCACTCTAGAGCCTAGGTGACAGAGTGAGACCCTGTCTTTAAAAAAAAAAAAGAAAGAAAGAAAGAAAGAAAAAAAAAAAGCAGCCTCTCATTGAATCCTCACAACCTTCCAAGGTAAGAGGATGGGGGCTTCTGTTGTTGTTTCACAGATAAGGAATCTGTGGCTAGGAAGTCTTAAGGGATTATCCCAAGGCAACAGAATCTGGGCAGTATTAGAATGTGGGGGTTTTGCTGTCTGATCTGTTAATACATTCAGTAAAATTTTTTTTGAGTGCCTATTACCTGCTGGGTGCTATGCAGGGTGCTGAGGTTGCAGGGATGACTTGACATGGTACCTGGCTAGAGGTGCTAACATTGTGGTGGAGGAGGCACCTGTGGTACACCATAAAACATGGTGGGGAGGGAACTTGCCAGTGTGATAGAAGTGTTTTATATCTTGGGAGGGATGTGGGTTACATAGGTGTTGCATCTGTCAAAACTCATTTAAATCTACACATGATTTGTGCATTTCACTATAAATTTGACCTAAACAAAACAAAACTGCATGCTCTGGGAGGACTATTGAACGACCTTGGAGAGACCCAGTTGTCTGGAAGCAGGCCGGGCTGCCCATGGATCCAAGTCCACTTTTGCTATCGGGTATGCCTGAGAAGTGTTCCATGGGGGTGTAGATGCAGGTGGCCCAGTGGCTTGATGTCCAGAATACCTGGGGAGCCTGAGGCGGGAGTTTCAGAGGAGGGATATTTAAGCTGAGTCTGCAGAGTGAGGAGAATTGGTCAAAGAAAGGCAGATAGTAGGCAGAGGGAGATGGTTTCTGTGCACTCCTTGCTGGAGTGTGCTTGTCTGAGGACACCCAGATAGCAAGATTGTTTCCTTACCCCAGGCCCCACCCGTGGGCTTCAGAAAAACTCATTCTGGTTGGGATTTTTGAAGCTGCCTCCCAGAAAATGATCTTACCACTGTGTCACGAGGCCATGGCCTGACCCTCATGCTCTTTGTCAACTGACATCTCTCATGGGTTGGCTATGTCACATTCAGGAGCCAAAGCAGAAGTGTAGACCCTTTGCTGTCCAACACATTTCCAGAAGGCCAGGCCTCCTGGTGCAGACACTGGTTGGCCTGTTTTCCTCTGAATAAAGAAGAGAAGGATCGGGTGTTGCAGGTCAGATCAGCCTGGGTTAGAATCCTGGTTCAGCAGTTGGGTGCAGTGGCTCGTGCCTGTAATGCCAGCACTTTGGGAGGCCAAAGCGGGAGGATCACTTGAGCCCAGGAGTTTGAGAAGACCAGCCTGGGCAAGAGAGTGAGACCCAGTCTCTCCAAAAAAAAAAAAAAAGAAAAGAAGAAGAAGTTAGCTGGGCGTTGGTTACACATGCCTGCAGTCCCAGCTACTCAGGAGGCTGAGGCTGGAGGATTGCTTGAGCCTGGAAGGTTGAGGCTGTAGTGAGCCATGATCACACCACCGCATTCCAGGTCCCCCGACAGGTGAGACCCTGTCTCAAAAAAAAAAAAAAAAAAAAAAAAATCTGGTTCTGCTAGTGAACTAGCAGTGTGACACTGTGAACAAGTTACTTACCCTCCCTGAGCCTCCTCAAGACTTCATGTTTCCAGCAAGAATAATGATGGTAGATGTGAGGGCGCACCAAGCACATAGTAGGCTCTCACAGAACAGTAGCTATTCACAGGGCGATTGAGGCGGGGGCCTAACGATTGAATGGAAGTGAACACTGCAATTCTCTCGCAAAGTTTACAGCATAATAAGCTTGTCCTTAGCTTCCCCTGTATCTTCCTTCTCACCCCCAATTCTAGGACCCTTTCGGGTGCCCCAGTCTCCCATAGGGGCGCCTCGCCAGCTCAGACCGGCCGGGCCCCTCCCTCTGACTCACTGCGGGCGGCTCCTGGCCGCGCAGCTCCAGGGGGCGGGGGGCGGCTGAGACAGCGCCCAGAGCCCCGGAGCAAGGTGTTGGCAGGCAAGTAGCGCGCTTCGGGGTCCGGTCGCCGGGGACCCGGGCTCCCTCTGTAGGGGTCGAACGGGCTTAACCGGTTCGGGGGCGCCCCGCTCCCTCCTCTTCTCCCACAGCCGGGGGCCGCTCTTAGGGGCGCGCCGTTTCCTGGCTTCCTGTAAGAAGAGGCGGGAGAGGCTGGGTCCGTGCTAAAGAAATGCTTTATTTTACTTCATTTGGGACAAACTAAGCAGTAGTGCTCAGGGGAGACCACAAGGGTAGGAACACTGTGCGTCTGGTAAAAAACTAGTTCTAGAGCGTCGTTACCAGATAACTCATTAGCATGTGCATTGAGTTCCTAGCCTCTCCCAAGTGTCCTAGGCTGAGCGACCAGCCCTTTTGTTTCTCTGTTGTTGTTGATCACACCACCGCATTCCAGGTCCCCCGACAGGTGAGACCCTGTCTCGCTAGGAAGTCTTAAGGGATTATCCCAAGGCAACAGAATCTGGGCAGTATTAGAATGTGGGGGTTTTGCTGTCTGATCTGTTAATACATTCAGTA